CAGCTGCCCTCACGATCCACCACATCCCAACCCTGCTGCCTGTTTAACAAATACTGGGACTGTTTTGACAGCCTCTGGCAGGAAACAGCCCCTTGGGACGCCCGGGGCCAGCCCCCCTTTCCCAGCAGGAACAGCAGGACAAGGCTCAGCAGGGGGATCACCTTCCCTCTCGGGGGACCAGGAGCCATGTTCCCAACAGCTCTGCCTGGGGCTTCACCTCCTGCAGTATTCCTCCTGCCCCCAGTTTCACTGCTGGTGCAGGAAAGCTTCAGCTGGCTCCTTCCTCGGGCTCAGAGACGGCCCCAGCATCCCAAGTTCTGAGACCTCATGGCATCACGTATTTAAACCCCTTGATGATGGGTGATGTCTGAAGCTGCCTTGCTCAGAGCGGTGTCTCGGGCAACGGCAGATCTGCCTGGGACTGCAGGGTGCAGCCCTGCTCCTCCCTTGGAGGATGGGGACCAGGATGAAGATCTCCAACCCCTTTCTACCATCCCCACTGTAAGAGCCAGTGAGCTCATGACTGATTGAAGCCAGGCACAGAAAAACCCTTTGTGCTCACAAACCTGGGCTCAGCACTTCCATCAGAGACCCTGAGGCGTCTTACCCACAACAGCCCCCTGCATCTCTCTCCACATCAGGGAGCCCAGTTTAACCATTCCCACTGGGAACCAAGAGTAAGTCTTGGCTCTCAATCTCTGGGCCTGCGAAGCCCCAAAGTAAACCAAAGAGCAGCCACAGGACATGGGAGACCCTCACTGCTCGGGCTGAGCTGCCCTGGGTGGAGGCAGAGGACTCTGCTCTTGTGAGACCCCACTTGCAGCACTGTGCAGTGCCTGTGTCCCCAGCATAAGGACATGGAGCTGTTGGAGCAAGGCCAGAGGAGGCCATGAGGATGCTCGGGGGCTGGAGCAGCTCCTGTGTGGAGCCAGGCTGAGAACACTGGGGCTGTTCAGCCTGGAGAAGAGAAGCTGCATGGGGACCTCAGAGCAGCTTCCAGTGTCTGAAGGGGGCTACAAGGATGCTGCAGAGGGACTCTTCAGGGACTGCAGTGACAGGACAAGGGGTGATGGGTTCAGACTGAAACAGGGGCAGTTCAGGTTGGATCTAAGGATATATGCCCTGGCTATGTGACAGCAAAGATGCCAGAATGCTGTTCCCAGCACATGGCCTTTGCCAGCATGTTCCCACTGAGCGAAGACCCACTAGGGCACGTGGCAATGGGCGTGTGAGTCTGTCCCATCCTAAAGTGGCACAGCCAATCCTTCTTTCCAAGAAGGAGGTGGGAGAAACTCCACAGGACAGCAGCCGGGCTGCCCATGTGTAAGGAAGAGCATCATGGCAGGAGTGTTTATGAGAGCAGCAGAGCACTGGGGGATGCAGGGTTTAAATAAACTTGAAATCCGACTCAACTTCCTTCCCCAATTTCACAAGCTCCATTTCCTGAGTCTCCGCAGCCAGGCAGACGTGCTGGGTGCTGCAGACAGCTCCGGGGGTGCCCCTTTCTCTATGGTTTGAAAGTGTCCTCAGGTATCAGCTCTGCAGCCAGTCCGGCTCCTCAGACATCCCCTGCTGATGGAGTTTAATGGCTTCTGGGTCAATACCATCAGCCTTCCTGACACAGCAAAACCACCCACTCACAATGGGGCTGAGCTCCACCTCCTGCAATGAGCACAGGGAGCACCGCTCCCCCCAGCTCGCTGTGGCTGTGAGCAGACAGCACCCAACTGCGAGCCTGGGTGCTGCAGGGATGGGTGCTCTGAGCTGGGTGCTGCAGGGATGGGTGCTGCTGAGGCTCAAGGGGAAGCACAAGCCTCCAATAGATGCTGTGCTCCTGGAAGCAGGGCATGAGAGCGGAAGTGCCAAACTCCTTCACCCATTTGAAGGTCACCTACAGAAGGAGACAGCACTCATCGCCTTCCCCAGCCCATGAGGGAACCTTCCCCCCCAAAGCCGCAAGGAGTGAGGGCTCCTGGGCCACCCCACTCCGCTCCCAGCCTGGGACCGTTACAGGGTGCAGGGCGCCCAACCCAAGCGATGCTCGGCCCCATCACTTCCGCTCCCTGGGGCACAGCCAGAGCTGGCAGGCTCCGGCACTCTCCTGTTAGTGCTGATGGGCAAGTGAAGGCAGGGCTTGCCTGCAGGGAGGGTGGGAGCTGGGGCAGGAGCTGCAGGTACAAGGTGCCGGTACCAGCCCCTGGGCCTGCATTTCCCTCTGCAGTGCTGGTACTGGCCGTTTCACTCCTGGCATGCAGGAAGCCTAAATAACAGCCCCATGTCCCAGTCAGTGGCTCAGCACTCAGAGCCCCAGGGGGGCAGCTGGGGGTCTTCCCAAGGAGAAGATGGGAACCTGGAAGCTCACAGTGAAATGCCACAGCATCTCCTGTCAGGTGAAGAGAACCGGCAAGAACCCACAAGGACAACACAGTCCCACCACTCTGCTCCTGTCCCTGCTCCTCCCATCCTGCCAGTACTTGTGAGGACTCGAGACAGGTCTCAGTGTCTTGACATCAGCTGGGCCATCCCTACCACTCAGCTGCTTAACCCCAGCAGCACGCCTCCCTCGGAAGCCCCCAGTGCTTCCCAGTGTCCCCAGCCCTTCCCCAGGTTCCACCAGCAGCATGGGCACAGAGACCTTGAAAAAATGGCGCAAGCTGGCACATTCATGTATTATAAAGAAACAAAAGGGGAGCTTCGATCCGTATCGTGCCTCACCCTGGAGGCATTCAACCTCTTTCATGCTCTGATAGGGGAAGGCGGTGGAATCTGCAGACAGGTTTGCTGGGGGGGGGGGGATGTGTGTGTGTGTCTTGGAGACTTCCACACCACCACTAGTGGTATGTCACACGCTCTCACAAAGGAAAACCTCTCTGCTCCTAGTCCAGAGAAGGAGGGAACCCATCACCAGCCCTTTGGGTGGGGTGATCCGCAGGGAGAGCAGCTTGGTCCTCGCACACTCAGCCCAGCATCCGAAGCCACCTTCCCACATGACGCTGCGACCTGCCTGCTTTGTCTGCAGCCTCCCCGTTCCCAGCCCTCCTCCTTTGTCCTGCCGGTTCACCTTTGCCACTGCATCGCCCCAGTACTCGGCACACACCGGCTGCAGCACACCAGCTCATTCCTTCAAGGAGTGGGTGGGAGAGAGTGGAATGTGCCCCCAGTTACATATCCTCGCTATGGGCACCCCAGCCCCACTGCAATGCTGCATACTGAAGTCACCTCCTGGTCATGATCCACTCCCTGTGTACGGGACAGTCCTTGACCCCATTGCTGGCAGAGGCCAAAGGGATCAGGAGGCAAGAGCCTCCATGGCCACCATGGCCAGCAGCACCCACCCCATCTCCCAGGCAAAAGGAGCCCCGGCCTCGAGCCAGGCCTTTGTTAAAAGGCTTCATCCGGACAGAAATGCAGGATGGAAGATGGGAAGAGTCTGGCCAGCAGGAAATCTCCACCTCCTGCCATTGGCATCACTCAGTTCCCAGGTCAGTGTCCTGGCACGGACACCCTTGCCTTGGCACAGCCCAGCCCTGCCCTTGCAAAGGCACCCCAGCAGCAGCCACACAATGGGGACACTGCCACCTCCCCTGCAGCTCCCCCATCCTTTAAACCCACAGCCTGGCCCAGATTCTCAGCCTCTTGAATGGAGCAAGGCAGAAAATAACCACCACCTGCTTCCAAGACAAGGAAGACTGGACAGGCAGGCAGCTCTGGGATGCATCCTGGTGCACACACACGTGTGCACAGGCACACAGACATGCACACATGCATGCACACACACAGAGACATGCACACGCACACACCCATCTCTCCCTCCCTCCATCACTGATGCTGCACCCAGCATCTTTTGTGCTCTCGCTCTACCCATGTAGGCAGGGTCCAAGAATCTGCAAATCCTCCTCTGAGGACTAAGGCAGCCCCCTGCAGCCTGGCAGCAGCACCCCAATCTGCCTCGTGCCATCAGGGGTGTGGGTGAGGGGACAGGCTCCAGCCCAGGTCACCCCCAGCCCCATGCTGCGGGACAAGGCAGGCACAGCCCGGCGGGGGGGTCGGTGTCACGGTGCGGACCTGGTCCTACCGAACCGTGACCCCGCGGTCCTGCCCCCGGCCAGCCCCACGCCGACACCGTGCTCTGGGTCTCGGGGTGCCGAGGCCGGGCTGGGCTCAGCTCACGCTTGTCCGGAAGACGCGGCTGAACCAGGACCAGGCGCGGTGCGAGCAGGGGAAGCCGCACGGTCCCTTCCTCAAGCAGCTTCGGCCGTGACGGGGCCCCCTCTCCCGTGGGTTCGGACCCCCCCCTCCTTCCCCCGGGGGCTCCTTCCTCTTGGGGCAGAGAGGAGCGAAACGCCGCCGGTCTGCGGGACCCCAGCGGCTGTGCACAGAATACACCCAGCCTGGCACGGCGCTAACAAAGAGCCCCCCCGGTCTCAGCACAGCCCGTGGGGCTCTGCAGGCGATGCGTGAGCTTCCCCCCCCCGCCCCCCTCCAGCTGCCCTCCGAGCCCACGCGTGAAGGAGATGCTGCCGGCAGGTCCTTCATCGAGGTGCACGATGCGGAAGGCGCATTGTTCCCAGCCCAAAGTCAGCACAAAGGACACAGGGATGCCGCATCGCTCCCCAACACCTCGGGAAGGGGAGGAAGGACCCCCCTCACATCTCCCTTATCTCGCCCGACACCAGAGGGGACCGAATTCACACGCGACACAGCCCGGGGCTGCCGAGCTGCAAACGCTGACAGCAGCTCTGCAGGTGAAGGGGTCGGGGACTTCTGGGTCACCCCCCCCGCTCCCCCCCCGGCCTCAGGGAAGGGGCTGAAAGGGCACCGCCAGCGGAGCGGCGAGCGGCAGCCCCAGAGCGATGCGGAGCGGGCAGGATAACGGTGGGACTGGGGAGGCAAAACCCGACCCCGGTGGGGGAGACGCCGTGCCCGGGGGCTGGGCAGCACCGAGTCGGGCACCCGCAACCCCCCGCGCCCAGCACCCGCAGCTGCAGCCCCGCGCTCACCTCACGGCCACCTTCACGCAGCTGTCCGGAGCCGCCATGGCCCCGCGAGCCGGGCACCGCGGCCGCCGCTGCCCGAGAGCATCCGCGGCGCTGAGAGAGGGGGGACGGGACCGGGGGGGCCGGGGGGGGAGCGGCCCCAGGTGAGGGGCGGGGCGGGGCTGACACGCCCCCCCCCTCCCCCCTCCGGATCGCGGACGCGCGGGGGAAACGGCGCGAGCGCGCGCACACACGCGCACGCGCTGGCTCTCACGCTCTCGCTCTCATTCACGTTGCGCCTCATTCACCGCGCTCACCCGCCGGGCCCTGCTGCCCCCTGCCGGGCGGACCGCGGCTCTGCAGAGCTGCGCCGGCGCCGTGCAGGGCTCTTCGGGCCGTACCGCGCTGCACCGGGCTGTGCCGGGCTGTGCCGGGGCTGTGCCGGGGCTGTGCCGGGGCTGTGCCAGGGCACACCAGACTGTGCAGAGCTGCACTGGGCTGTTCCAGGGATGTGCTGGGCACTACAGGACTGTTGAGGGCTGTACCGAGCAGTACGGGGGGTGTGCTGGGCTATGGGGCTGTGCCAGGGCTCTACCAGACTGTACTGGGCTGTACCAGGAGTGTGGCGGGGTGTTCTGGGCTGTACAAGGCAGTACTGGGCCATACCGTGTGTTGTGCCAGGGTGTTCCAGGCTGTACTGAGCTGTATAGGGCTGTACCAGGCTGTTCTGGGCCATACTGGGGCTGTACCAGGGCTGTGCCAGGGCTCTATCAGGCTGTACCAGAGAGCAGCTCAGGACCCTTCCCCATCAAAGCTCCAGGCAGAGAGGCCTGCTCATCATGGCATGGTGGTTCTGGCCTTATCTTCCTGCTGGCACCCTTGTGTCACAAAACAGATCTGTCCCCCAGTTCAGCTAGAAATTAATGCAAGAAACACCCACCAGATCCCAGTTTGGGGCAAATCAGCCCGGTGCAGCTCCAAGCCCCAGGAGAGGGTGCAGAGAAACTGCTGTGTGTCCCCACCCTAGTGTCACCCTCTGTGTTTGGAATCCCTGGAGAGCAACCACCTGCCTTGGAGAGACAATCTCACCCCTTCCATCATTTCAGCTGTGGAAAAACTGTCCCAGGAGTTCAAACAATTGAGAGATGATCTATCCGATCTGTCCAGCTCCCCACATGTACCACCCCCATCTCAGCTATTAGCAGAAAGCGCCCTATTGCCCAAAAGAAAACATATAGGAGGTACGTGCCACAGGCCACCCTATGGTTTTTCCTGCAGGATCATGGAGAAGACATGAGAAAGTGGGATGGAAAACCTACCTCAGCTTTGGAGGAACGGGTGCGTGAATTGAAGAGGAGAACAAAGGTCAAGGATGATCATCCTATGAAAGATGCTGCTCCATTCTTGAGTGAGCAGCTTCCCAGATGGAGTGAAAGAGCTGCTTTTACTCCAACGCCTGTGATAAGGGATTCTAATCCCTTTCTACAAGACCTAAGTGGAGAATCTTATGATGACTATTAGAGGGGCCCTGCCTCCAGCCAGGTGGAGGAGAGGGACAATCGGATTTACTGGACTGTGTGGATCAGATGGCCTGGCACATCAGTCCCACAGAAGTATAAGGTTCTGGTAGATACCGGTGCACAGTGTACCCTGATGGAATCAAGCTGTCAACCCATTTGTATTTCTGGAGTGACAGGAGGATCCCAGCAGCTGACTGTACTGGAGGCTGGAATCAGCTTAACTGGGAACGAGTGACAAAAGCACCCCATTGTGACTGGTCCAGAGGGTCCACGCATCCTTGGCATAGACTACCTCAGGAGAGGGTGCTTCAAAGACCCCAAAGGGTACCAATGGGGTTTTGGTACTGCTGCTTTGGAGACTGAGGAAATTGAGCAGCTGTCCACCTTGCCGGGTCTCTCAGAGGATCCTTCTGTTGTGGGGTTGCTGAAGGTTGAAGAACAACACGTGCCAATCGCGACCACAGCAGTGCACCCGCAGCATTATCACACCAACGGGGACTCCCCAGTTCCCATCCATCAGCTGATCTGTAGACTGGAGAGTCACGGAGTGATCAGCAGGACTCGCTCACCTTTTATAGTCCCATATGGGCTACTCCTACCCTATCCCTGCTGATTGCCTGGATCCCCTCAGGGGAAAGCTCTCAGCCTTGCCATGTTCCCTGCACAAGGCACGCAGGCTGCAGCTGGAGCTCAGCAACAGCCATTTCCCTTCTATTAAGTTAACAAATAAATGCCCTGCTGGAAAGCAGGCAGGCTCCATTGATTCACACCTCCCCCAGGACCCATCACTTTGCTGCATTTTAATATATATTAGGCAAGAAAGAGACATGCATTTCCCAGTTTGGCTGGGCTGGGGAGCCTCTAGAGCAAGATCCCAGCAAAGAGATGGCCTGGGGAGATGGGGCTGCCCCAGTGCTCAGTGCCTGGGCCACTGAGGTCTGTAAAGCAAAACCCCATGGGAGACTTATTCCCAGAGAGGAATAACCTCAGTTGCTACTCGCTAACAGACATAATGGACAGTGTGTAGGCAGCTCTGGTCAAGGGCTGTGCTCCCCTTGGCATCTCTGGCCTGTCCCTTGCAAAGCAGTGGAGTTGTCTGGAAGATGCGTGAGACCCTCCTGGGGGCAGGGCTCATCAGTGGGTGCCCAAGCCCAAGAGTGGTGTTTAGAGATATCTGGTGACACAAATCACACTGCAGTGGCCAACTCTCCCCTTGGTTAGACCCAAGGCCACTGCACTGACCTGGACATGCTCTTATGCCTCTGCCCCATACCCAGATGGGAGCCCCTGGGCTTCATGCCTGGAAGATGCTTCCAGCATCTGCCCAAGTCCTCCTTGGCTGCAAGGAGGAGAAACAGGCTCCAGCAGAGGCATAAGGATGCTGGGTCCAGCTGCTGAAATAGATACCAGGAGACCCCTCCAGAGCTTGCTACTGCTCTTAAAATGCCTTGTTGACAGTCATGACATGAGCACTACGGAGTAGGGACAGACCTCCCTGCACATGGGGACTGGAGGCTGCCCCATGAATTGCTGCCAGCTCTGGTTCTCACGTTTGTAGCTCCCCTTCCTAGGCAGGGCTAGGCACAGGCTGTGCAGGCAGGGTGGCTGAAGAAGGAGGGGACAAGGGGGATACACAGAGTCACACAGCAGGAACACTTTAATGACCTGTCCAGCTCTTGCAAGACCCTGCTGGCACAGTATTGTCCTGTCCTGCACCAACATCCTGGAGACCTGGCCCCAAAGTCCTCCTGCAGGACAGAGCCCACCAGGACCCCAGGCAGAGGGGGAGCAGTGTGCCATTGCTCCAATAACCCCCTGCAAGCTTCCGAAGGGACCATGTGTGCTTGTGGATCACAGGTGAGTGACAGCAACGGTCTTTTGGGAAGGGGCTGCTTTGAGCCCTGGGGAGCTGGCTGGTGATGTGACTGAGGTGCCCCGAGGGGCAGAGCTAGCTTTTGTACCCTGAAGTGTTTCTCTTCCCTTTAGCAGTTCCACAGCTGCTTTCTCCACTTCATCCACCTCCAGTTGGCTGCTGGCTGCCATCTCAGCCCTCGTCACTGCTACAAAGGTTGGGTCATGGGCCAGAGCTGTGAGGCCCCCGGAGATCAGAGCCTGCAGCAGAGGATGGGATCAGAGCCTGATGTGTCCTCAGTCTGTAGAGGTGTCCCTGGCTGCACACAACCCACCCTCACCTCACGTGCTTGCTGCCCTCTGTGCTCACCCTCATAGGTAAGCTTTGCTCGTGCAACCTCCCAGCTTGGTATGAGCCTGGCACCCCTGCCAGCCCCTTTCATCCCTGCCTTTCCCACTGCCCCTGCCTTACCTCCTGAATGAGGAAGGTGATGGCGGGGGTGGAGGATGCACTCGGGTCACTGCTTTCACCCCACTGGTGCTCTGAGCTGGACGCCGCTCCTGTCACTGTGTCATCCTCTCCGGGCTGCTGGGTGAGAGGAGCAAACAGCTGCAGCCTGGGCTTGGACAATGCCCGTGGAAGATCTCGCTCATGTTCATGGGGGGGCTGTAGGTATTGTCCCCACTCCCACACCAGCCAAGGGCAGTCAGGGCAGCGTGGGAGCAAACCTGATGCACCCCCTTTTTCTCCCTGGCTCTGGAGCAGCCAAGAGATGGTGCATTAAGCTGTGCCTGCTTGGATGAGCACCCTGTGATGGGGGCCCAGCTCCTTCCCAATGCTAGTGAGAAAGGAAAGCTCCAGCAAAGCTGGTTTCATGGTGGGGAGCCCTAGAGAGTGGCTCCTCCCCAGTATGTCTGTGACAGCCTTTCCCAGGAGAGGAGTGACGTTCATCCATGTCCCCATTGCTGTCTTGATATACACTGTCCTCTTTACCTCCTGCGGGAGAAAGGGCAGGCCTGATGGGTGACTCCCAGAGGTGACCTCTCCTCGCCTCCTGCTTGGTCTCTGCTGCAGCTTTCCCATGGGTGAGGGGCGGTTGCACTCTGGGAGAGGGAAAGGAGGGGATATCAGATGGGCACAAGAACAAGGACACCACTGCCACCCAGAGCTGGGGATGTAGTAACTAAGGGGTTTCGGGGTTTTGGATGAGTTGAAGTCCAGCGCCTGCCCTCTGCCCTTTGCCGCCTCCTCATGGTTGGGAAGGAGAAGTCCCTGGAAGACAATCTTGTGGCCCTGCTGCCCAGGGGTGGCCGGTCCTCCCCCAGCCTAAGCACTGGCTCCATGTTCTGTCACCCTGGAGGGTGAAAAGGTGGAAGGAGGGTCCCATGGAGCTTCCCAGGGAGGTCTTGCTGTGCTTGGGCCTCTCAGCTAACCTCCAAGTTGTTGGGGGCTGCTGCCATCACCCCCTACACTGCCCTTTGGGCTAGTCCAGATCCCAGAAGAGGAACGATGCTGAAACTCACCCCGCACTGGATGCTTGGGTGCTGCTGGCACTGTCCTCCTCAGCACCTCATCCTCGTACTCCATCCTGGCAAGGGCAGCAAGGGGGTCAGCCTGAGCAGGGACCATGTACCGACCCCAGCTCTCCCCACCTTCACGCTGGGAAATGCAGCTGTGGGGGCATCTGGGACAGATGAACCATGCAGAGATTCCAAGAAGTGGGATAACCCCTGTCTCTTGTACGTGTGGC